CCCCTCCAACCCCCCCCCCCCCCCCCTCCCCTCCCGCATTATTTCTTTCTTTATATTAATTTGAAAAATACCATTTCAATTGTCTTTGTAACCAATATTCTTTATCATGTGCAAACCACATGTTATGTAACGGATTCATGAATGAATCTTCTCTATAAGACTCACAATCTATAAAAAGAAGAATTTCAAAATAGGCGATTAATCAACAACAGCTTTGATTATTCTCGAGAAGCTGGTGAGAAAGAAAGATCTTGTTTCTAGCTTCGATCCTGTGATAAGTATTGTATTCCTACTATTAAATTTTTGTGCCAAGTGACAATATTCTTTGGTTGATGTTCAATAGATGAGTATATTTTCGGCTGAAATCCGGACCCTTAGTGATGAAATTTCAGTCGTCTTCCTTTTTCTGCAAATTTATTCTGTGTTTTGTGCTGGTTGCGCTCCCTTCAATGAAGACTTATCATAATCGGCCCCCCTCCACTTCATCAAATGAAAAATATCACCATTGATAAATGGGGAAATTTGAATTAGGAGGCATGCCTCTAGATTAAGCTCCAATTTTTACTTGTGTTATTAGATAAATAAGTACCCACAAATTTATAGTAGAGTGAAGTATACTCAAAGTTTAAGAAGAATAAGTTACGAATTAGTAGTAGTTTGATATGAGGATTTTACATGCACTAGAATTAAAAGTGTTGACTAAACATGACCATTAGACAACAAACAAATAAAATAATCTATACAATTAAACATGTGGACTAACCATGTAGACAAATAAATTTTCTACCGTCGGGATGCCTCTCCGATCACTCACCATGCATTGTATCACTCTTCAGGCTTGATAAGTAGTAAGAGGAGGCCTTTTAAGTTCTTCAACATGTGGATTAACCATGAGAGCTTCCAAGAGGTTGTTCAAAATTGTTGATGTTACGGGAACGAAGCAATTCAATCTGTGTAAAAAGTTGCAAGGCCTTAAGGGGGAGCTCAAGAAGTTTAATGAGAAACACTTCGCCCATATCTCCACTAAGGCCAAAATGGGCACATTGGCTTTGAAGGAGGCACAATTAAAATTGCATGATGATTCTCTTAATGTTGAACTTCAAAAATGGTGATATGTATGGCGAAAAAGCTATGGACCTTTGTGAAGTGGAGAGAAGTTTTTACTACCAACGTGCTAAATGTGAGTACCTAAAGAACAGTGACAACTGCACTAAATTTTTTTGTTCAATGGTTAAGAGGAAGTCAAAAGGAATTTCATTGCATCCGTGTGTAAAGGGGATGGTTCATATACTTCCTCGTTGGAAGAAATGGCCAATGAATTTGTGCATTTTTACAGCAACTTACTAGAAATAACAACGTGGTGGAGCCCATTAACCTTGGCATCTTAATGGATGGTCCCGTGTTATCGGAAGAGCATTCTTTAGCGCTTATTTGGGATATTTCAGAACATGAGATCAAAGATGAATTATTTTATATCGGAGATGATAAATCACCAGGTTCGAATGGTTACTTATCGTGCTTCAAGAAACCTTGAAGTATTATTGGAAGAGATTTTGTGGGAGCAGTCAAAGAATACTTCACCTCTAGCTCTCTTCTCAAGCAAATGAATCATGTGGTCATCACTTTGGTCTCCAAGGCTAGTCACTCTACATCCGTTGGTGACTATAGACCGATCTCACGTTGTAATGTGTTCTACAAAGTAATTGCTAAAATCCTTGAATCTCAATCGGGGCATATACTTGGGTCAATTTTGGATCAAGCTCAAGGTGCTTTTGTTGAAAGAAGGAGCATGTTGGAGAATATCTATCTTGCAAAAGAGCTTCCAAAACAATACATTCGAAAGAGAGTTGCTCCTAGATGCCTTCTCAAAGTAGATCTTAAGAAGGCATATGATTCAGTCAATTGGGAATTTCTCAAGAATGTGCTACATGGTCTTGGCTTTCCTATGAAGTTTATCGGTTGGGTGATGGAATTTATTTCTGCTCCTTCATATTCTATAGTGCTCAATGGTAGCCTTTATGGATTCTTTAAAAGGGAAAATGGGTCTTCGTCGAGGTGACCCGCTCTCTCCATTTTTGTTTGTAATTTATCTTGAGTATTTCTCAAGAATGTTGAAGGGAGCTACGGAGAATAGCGAGTTCAATTATTGGAAGAGATTTTATGGGAGCGGTCAAAGAATGCTTTACCTCTAGCTCTCTTCTCAAGCAAATGAATCATGTGGTCATCGCTTCGGTCCCTTAGGCTAATCACTCTACATTTGTTGGTGACTATAGATCGATCTGATGTTGTAATGTGTTCTACAAAGTAATTGATAAAATCGGCCTATCCTTGGGTCAATTGTGGATCAAGCTCAAGGTGCTTTTGTGGAAGGAAAGAACATGTTGGAGGATATCCGTCTTGCACGAGAGCTTCTAAGACAATACAAGTGAAAGAGAGTTGCTCCTAGATGCCTTCCCAAAGTAGATCTTAAGAAGGCAAATGATTCGGTCAATTGGGAATTTCTCAAGAATGTGCTACATGGTCTTGGCTTTCCTATGAAGTTTATCGTTTGGGTGATGGAATTTATTTCTACTCCTTCATATTCTATAGCACTCAATGATAGCCTTTATGGATTCTTTAAAAGGAAAAACAGGTCTTCGTCGAGGTGACCCACTTTCTCAATTTTTGTTTGTAATTTGCCTTAAGTATTTATCAAGAATGTTGAAGGGAGCCACAGAGAATAGCGAGTTCAAATATTGGAAGAGATTTTATGGGAACGGTCAAAGAACGCTTTACCTCTAGCTTTCTTCTCAAGCAAATGAATCATGTGGTTATCGCTTTGGTCCCCAGGGCTAATCACTCTACATCCATTGGTGTCTATAGACCGATCTCACGTTGTAATGTGTTCTACAAAGTAATTGCTAAATCCTTGCATCTCAATTGAGGCCTATCCTTAGGTCAATTATGGATCAAGCTTAAGGTGCTTTTGTGGAAAGAAGGAGCATGTTGAATAATGTCCATCTTGCACAAGAGCTTCTTAGACAATACAATCGAAAGAGAGTTGCTCCTAGATGCCTTCCAAAGTAGATTTTAAGAAGGCATATGATTCGATCAATTGGGAATTTCTCAAGAATGTGCTACAAGGTCTTGGCTTTCCTATGAAGTTTATCGGTTGTGTGATGGAATTTATTTCTGCTCCTTCATATTCTATAGCGCTCAATGGTAGCCTTTATGGACTCTTTAAAGGGAAAATGGGTCTTCGTCAAGGTGACCATCTCTCTCCATTTTTGTTTGTAATTTGCCTTGAGTATTTCTCAACAATGTTGAAGGGAGCTACGAAGAATAGTGAGTTCAATTATCATTCCAAATGTGGCCCTTTAAAGATGACACACTTGGCATTTACGGATGATTATATGCTTTTTGTTAGAGGAGATACAATTCAGTTGGTATTTTGATGGATTATTTGTCTAAGTTTGGAAACATATCGGGATTGAGGATGAATGTTTGCAAGTCTCGCTTGTACAAGGCAGGGGGTCATAGGCAAGAGCTTGAGGAGATCTTTGAAATAGCTCATATGTCCAAGGGTTCTATGCCATTCCGATAATTAGGAATCCCACTTGAAGCGAAGAGGTTGAAAATAAGTTCTTATGACTCCCTTCTCAACAAAATCATAGCTTACATTTCTATCTAAGGCATCCTTCTCCTATACGGGAAGAGCTAAACTTATTAGATCCGTTCTTTAAGATGTGGAATGTTTTTGGCTTTCATATTTCCTATCCTAGCCGCAGTTGCTTCAAAGATCATTAGCTTTTGCCGCAACTTCCTTTGGGGTAATAACAAACTGTTGGTTGCTTGGAGTAATGTTTGTTTGCTAAAACATGAGGGTGGACTGAATTTAGAGATATAAAATGTTGGAACTCAGCATTACTTTCAAAATCCATTTGGAATATCCATCGTAAGAAAGACATGCTATGGATTAAATGGATTGATCAAATTTACCTCCGTGGGGCTACTATTTGGAGTGTGTGGCAAGGAAAGAGCACTCTCTATTGATCAAGAAGCTGTTGGACATTTGAAATCAGCTTAGGGTCGAAACTCACTGACCATGCTGTAGTTAATAGGCTGTCCAATTGGACAGCTTCTAGCCATTTTTGCATGGGTAGCGCTATTGGACGGTATCAGAATATTTTCAGCAATAGACAAAATATTTCAGCAATATTTTCTCTCCATATTTACACCTGTCACTTTGTTATTTATTCTATTTTAGCACAATAATGTCAATTAGCATAAATCTTGCTGTAGACTTTCACAGTATATATATCCATTTTCACAGTATGTGTAATTATCGTTTTGGTCATAATAAAATTCAGCCTTTTACTTCTCCTTATTTTATCATGGTATCAGAGCAGTAGAACCCTAGGACAATTTTTTTTTTCTTTTCTATAGCGGAAGAGAGTCCTCTGGCCATGGCTTCCAATACTTCAGGCAACCACTCCAATAGCAACCAACCCAGCTTTGATGTTTCATCACCTTATCTCCTCCATGCCTCCGACAATCCAAGTGCAACACTAGTGACTTGTTTGCTCAGGGAAGAAAATTACCCCACATGGCGTGGAGCAATGACTAACGCTTTACAAGCCAAAAGTAAGTTTGGCTTTGTGGATGGATCAATCAAGCGCCCAACATCTGGCTCACTGGAGGAATCTGCGTGGATCAAGTGCAACTCCATGGTGATTTCGTGGATCTTTAATTCTCTTCACCCCACTCTCCATGATAGTGTGGCGTATTTTGTGACAGCGCAAGAAATGACCTTGAAGAACGCTTTTCACAAGGAAATGCTCCTCGTATTCATCAGTTAAAAATCGAAATGATGAATACCTTGCAACAAGGGATGACTGTATCAGTGTATTACACAAAGTTGAAGGGGATTTGGGATGAACTCAACACATACTCTCAGATTCCACCGTGTACCTGTGGTTCTGCAAAGGCCCTTGCTATCGAACGGGAGAAAGAGAGAGTACACCAATTTTTGATGGGGTTAAATGAAAAATACAATACGGTGTGATCTCAAATCTTAAACACAGACTCACTACCTTCATTATCCCGTACCTATGCACTTGTGGCACAAGAGGAGTGCCAACAGTTAGTGACTGCGTCCAGATTACCTCCTGTAGAAACAGCATTCCAGACGGGCAACACATTCAGGTCTCATGGCAGCTATAAATCAACAGGGAACCATGACCCCTCCAAGCGGTTTTGTGAGTACTGCAAGAAGGCTAGACACACACAAGATACTTGCTTCGAGTTGCATGGCTATCCGAAATGGTGGGATAAAGAAAAGAAGGCATTCAGAACTAAAACGGCCAATAGCTCACAACGTGTGGAGGCTAATGAGGGTAACAATGCTATACCAATTAATGGGTTGACAAATGATCAGTATGCTCAACTTATATCTATGCTTAACCTTGATAAGGAACATAATTGCACGACCAATTTTGCCGGTAAGGCAACTTCTCTGTCCAATGGTACAACTGAATGGGTTTTGGATTCGGGTGCTTCCGATCACATGACTTGCATTGAAACAGTCCTCACTTCCCTAAAACTGTGCCTCATTTTTCACCCATTAAAATTCCAGATGGATCATTTATGCCAGCAAAATCTTATGGAGATGTTCCTCTTAACCCCCCTGTCACTTTAAATAATGTCTTATACATACCTTCTTTTACATGTAATCTCATATCTGTCAGTAAGCTAACCAAAACATTGAACTGTGTTGCTCATTTTTTCCCTTCTTTTTGTGTGCTACAGGACCTAGCCTCGAGGAAGCTGATTGGAATGGGTGAATTGCGAGATGGACTCTATTATTTTCAGGCGGTCAAAGCCTCAACTGCTGTGTCCAACACCACTAGCGACTCTCGGATTCTCCTCTGGCATCAACGCCTTGGGCATTTATCCTTTGACAGGCTATCTCTCCTTAGCGATTTAGGTTTATCTTCTATTACTTCATTCAATAATTGTTGTGATCCTTGTCATCGAGCAAAGCAAACTCGTAAACCTTTTTCTACTAGTTCTATTAAAACGATTGAATCTTTTGAATTAATTCACTGTGATGTTTGGAGACCATCTCATACCACGTCTCTATCTGGTGCCAATTATTTTTTGAGCATTGTAGATGATTACACTAGATCCACTTGGATTTATTTGATCAAAACCAAGGCTGAAGTCTATACTAGGTTGACTTCCTTCATAGCCATGATAGATAAACAATTCGGGAAGGCCATTAAACAAATTCATAGCGACAACAGAACTGAATTCACAAACCATAATTTTCAACTTTTCTGCCAACAAAATGGTATTTTAACTCAATTTTCTTGTGTTGCCACGCCTCAACAAAATGGGGTGGTTGAGCGTAAACATAGACATATACTTGAAGCTGCCAGGGCCTTACGATTTCAAGCTAATTTACTGATTAAATTTTGCGGGGAATGCATCTTAACGGCAGTTTACTTAATCAATTATACTCCCACACCACTTTTATCTGGAAAAAGTCCTTATGAACTTTTGTTTTCTCAAAAGTCGAATAATTCCCATCTTCGTGTTTTTGGGTGTCTTTGCTATGCCTCCATCGTCCCTTGATCAAAAGATAAGTTTCAGGAACGTGCGTCTGCTTGCATTTTTATTGGTTACCCTCATGGTCAAAAAGGGTACAAAGTGTATGATTTAACCTCACATAGAGTCTTCACCTCTTGGGACTTGACGTTTTATGAGCACATTTTCCCTTTCCAAGAAAAGTCCTCATCTCCTCCTCCCGATCGTATACCACCAATGACCACACCCATACCTTTGCCTGCCCTTGATCATGAAACCACGTCACTCACTCCCCTCACCACAACGGAATCCATGCACCATCTCTCCGATATCATAACCTCTGACCATTCCATTGACACTGATTCGGCTCCGCTGATCAGCAACTTACTAGATACTTTCCCTACTGATCAGCCTCACACCATACCAACTCAACGTCCTTCCCGTGCAAGGAAGTTGCCATCCTACTTTCGAGACTTTCATGTTGACTTGCCGGAGAATAATAGGGCCTCTCCAGCCTCTTCCAATAATGCTTCCTCAGGTACGTCCTACCCTTTGAGTAACTTTCATTCTTATTCAAACTTTTCTCCACCGTATACCAGTTTTCTTGTGGCCATCACTCAACATGATGAGCCGCGGTCCTATAAACAGGCCATTCAGGACGTTCATTGGTAGGACGCAATGAAACAGGAATTGGAAGCACTTGAGCAAAACCATACATGGACTTTGGAACCCTTACACCCTGGCAAAAAGGCCATTGGATCGCGTTGGGTTTACAAGATAAAGTATCATTCCGATGGATCTGTTGAACGTTACAAGGCTCGCTTGGTCGCCAAAGGTTATACACGGGTTGAGGGGCTAGACTACACTGAAACCTTTGTGCCGGTCGCCAAACTTACCACTGTCAGGACCTTGTTAGCTGTTTCGATTGCAAAATCATGGGCATTGCACCAACTTGACGTCCACAATGCATTTTTACATGGAGACCTTGACGAGGAGGTCTATATGACACCGCCTCCTGGGTACTTATCTTCTAATGATAATCGGATGTGTTGCCTACATAAATCCATTTATGGTTTGAAGCAGGCATCTCGCCAATGGTTTGCTAAATTCTCCAACGCCATACTCCATTTTGGCTTCACCCAATCCAAGGCAGACACCTCCCTTTTCTTGCATCATACTGGTGACTCCTTCACTGCCCTACTTGTGTATGTGGACGATGTTATTATTGCTAGCAACAACAATGCTCACACTGCTGCCCTCAAAGAATATTTGAATACCTTACACGCCGTTCAATTACTGGCTATCTTATCTTCCTTGGGTGTTCTCCCATTTCTTGGAAAACCAAGAAGCAGACTACCGTCTCTCGCTCTTCAATCGAGGCTGAATATCAGTCCATGGCCACCAATGCTTGTGAGCTCATTTGGCTTCGCACCTTACTTCAGGATTTAACAGTTTCCATCCCTTTGCCAGCTCAACTTCACTGTGACAATCGTGCTGCCTTGCACATTGCTGCTAACCCAGTTCATCACGAACGCACTAAACATATCGAGATTGACTGTCACTTCATTCGTGACTGCATCAAATCTGGCTCCATCACTATGTCTCCTCTGATTGCCAGCTAGCTGACCTTTTCACCAAAGCCCTTGGAAACATCCAGTTCCATTTCCTAGTTGGCAAGTTGGGCATTCGTGATCTCCATGCTCCAACTTGAGAGGGCGTATTGGATGGTATCAGAATATTTCCAGCAACAGACAGAATATTTCAGCAATATTTTCTCTCCATATTTACACCTGTCACTTTGTTATTTATTCTATTTTAGCACAACAATGTCAATTAGCATAAATCAATATCAATTAGCATAAATCTTGCTGTAGACTTTCATAGTATATATATCCATTTTCACAGTATGTGTAATTACCGTTTTGGTTATAATAAAATTTAGCCTTTTGCTTCTCCTTATTTTATCAAGCGCATATCAGTATTTTCAATTGAAGCGAAAAAAAGTTGTTGGACTGGGGAAATTTGGAGACCGTACATCACTCCAAAACACTCCTCCATGTTGTGGTTGGCTGCACAGTCTAATCTTCTAATGGAGGATGAGTTGATGCATCTTAACATTAATGTTTGGTGCAGGGTGTTGGTGGAGTCAACTGAAATCTATCGTGTCAGTTTCAGGTTTTGGGTAAATATGTACGTGTTAAAGACAATGGTTAAATGCAGGTCCAGCTATCTGGAAACTTTGGCCTCACGGAATTTGCGAATTTAGCTCGTGAATAAACACTTTCCAAACATGTTTTAATATTTTATTTTATATATTTTCTATATAACTAGTGTAAGATCATGTGCCACACGTTTATTGATAGAAATTGAATATTTGATACCACCATTATGAACGAAACGAAATGCTTAAGTGATACCTATATAAACAGCGAATTGAAACAATCAATTGAACTGTAAACATAGTGAGTAAAAGAAAAGTTATAAGATTTAGTTTAGTAAAGAAATATATCGTTAATATTTCTCATGATTTATTTGTACATCATGACACTAACACACTTAGAGCTGAACAAAATTGTAAATGGCATGCCTTCATGAAATGCAAAATGAAATGTCATAAGTGACTGCAAATATTTGACAGAGAAGGGTGATCGTCTCTCACATGTCGCGAGTACCGCTTGAATAAAAAATTATTCCTCCCCCTATTTGTGGGGTCTCTGTCAGGACTTTTGCTTTAAAATAAGGGGCAACTTCATTTTTGTATAGGGCGGCACCACTTCTAATAATTTCTTACACCGTATTTGGGACTAATTAAGAAGTTGTTTCCAAATGGTTACTAGGAATTTTGAAAACCTCTGATGCAACTACTGAATTTTGTTAGAAGCGCTCCAAACACAATAAAAAAATACAGGTAAATCTATTTGCAATATAAAAATGTAAGAATAAGAAAGTTTAGAGTTTAGATAATTTTCACATTTACTAAATAATAGATCAAACTTTAAGAAACGAAGAATAAAAAATTTACACAGTTGCAATTTACCTTGAAATCAAAGGCTATAATTAGGTTCCCAAAGACTCCAACGTTGAAATTAATGAAGTTAGTAGGCGTGAGTAAGAGAAATTATTAAGAGATAAGAATAGAACATTTGGTCATCATTATGAAAATTCAGTCATACCTTATAGATGGTTAATAATTACCCGCCTAAAAAATCGTTAAATCGTTGAATAACCAAGTAAAGGAGGAATTACTCAACAATAGAAGTTTTAATAGTACCGTTTCATATGGATTCAATCGCAATGACATGTCTTATGTTGCACGAGCCACGGTTCTAATAATTTTTTCTTAATTTTTAAGAAAAAGAAATAAATTTTTACTTGTTGCTCTAAAATTCTCTTTCTTGAAGGATGAATAGGCTATCGTAGGAAAGAAAAGAAGACACCGTATGGGATAGTCTGACACGACTCGTCTAGAGCCTTTCTAGATAGGTTGACTCATACACGATCTTTCTCGAGCATATATTGGACCAAACGAATGTTACGGCTCCGTAATTGATTGTCTAATTTATTTTCGTAAAAAAGAGAAATACAAATGAAACTTCGCTATATCGACATTATGTCAATCTATCATACGCCCATATTTCATAGATGAATAATAACTTTTTAGGTGAGAAAGAGATTCTTTTTTAGGTGGGTGGGGGTTGGAAAAATTTTCAAAGCAAAGGCGAATTATTATTAACTTTGAAAATTTCAATAGCGGTCAACAAATTATTGTTCTCAAAAGAAATATTGTGAGCGTGGATCTAGATGTATAAAGATATGACTTTTTTTATATTTGTGATCATTACATACAATATACCATCTTTGGTAATTAATTGCAATGTCAAAATAAAGTAATTGATAAAAATCATATCAACAAAATTTACCAACAATTGATATATGTCATTGATATATACGCCTGTCGATGAATTATAAATAATCAAGAAAGTAGTCAAAATACTTTCTCGACCTCACTTCACACACTTCAAACATTTTTATTTGCGCCTTCTTTGAAAAATTTCTCGTGCATGTATGCATTTTTCTTTCTTTGACACATTATTAGATGAAACTTAATTAAACCAATTAGTTCATCCTTGTTTATGTGTCAATAAACTTAAGACCCACTTTTCAGTCGACTCTTTAAATGCTGATTGAGTATCAGGTATTTTTGAGCGCCTTCAATTTGTGTAGGTCGAATTGTTTTCAACTTAAGCCTTGAGGTTATAAATTTCACGTGTTTATTTCCTCAAAATTGGCTATTTTTACATTAAATATATGCATGAGAGAGATGGATCTATTATATCCGGAAGTGAAACAATTTTGATAATTGTGTGTTTCAAAGATTCCAAAAGTAATCACTTACTGAACTCACTAAATGCCTAAATTAATTCACCTAAGTATTACTCAGATGATTTTTCAGCAATAGAGTTAACGACACTTGATGATAAATTAGAAACTTATATTTTTTAAATGTGCACTATCAAAGAGTTCAAAGAATTTCAGGGTCTTAGTGCTCTAACACACAAGTTGGTTGTGATTAAAAATAAATAAATAAATGTATATCTATTACTTTACAAGTTTGTAACTTCGACATTAATTCTTTCTGTCACAACTGTTAGGGTAGAAAAAAATATTTTTTGAATGACGTGTTGAAGGATTGATTGCACAAATCCAATTAGATATCGAAGGATGAATGATAGCTTGTATGCCTATATTAAAAATGTAATTGATAAAGTTGGAGAGAAGTTGTATAAATTTGTCATAGAGAGCAACTGCATTTTTTTTTTTTTACTGTTTTAATATGTATTTTTATTCTTATAAAAAGTTTTTCTCTAGTTAATTTGTGATGTCACTACTTGATCTTCCATTTTCACCCCCAAGTCATGCATCCGTAAAGTAAACTCTTGGAACCCGTGTAGTACACAATGGTAAAATATATCGTCCATGTTTGGTATGGATTAAAATCTAAATTTTAATTTAAGTTAAAGTTAACAATTAATTTTAAAAATATATTTCACGAACTCACAATTTTTCAACTGCATATTCTATCAACTTTTATTAAAATTTACTAAAAATCTGATTTTAATATCTAGCAAACAAGGATATTGTATAATAAGCGAGAGGGTATTTTCCTTTGTACAACAAAGGGGGGAGGGGTCGCTCTGTTTGATTTATAATCTACTTTTTTTCTTTCTTTGTTAGTCACATATTTTTTAATAAAATAATGTTATACTTAAATTCAAAATTATTTTTTCTTTAATTTACCACACATTTTTTTTTTAAAAATCACTATTATAAAATATAAATTTCTTTGAAATGGAGCTCAATCAAGGGCTATTTCTTATGCAAATTTAAAAGTTCAAAAATAATTAAATTAAAAAGAAAAAATGAGGCAAGGTAATTATAGTGAAAACGGGAATATTTGACTAGGATATAGGGAGTTGAAAATTGTGGGAGGTGGGGGTTCCACTTGATCCTATAACGGGGTTATGCCTCTCCTGTCCCGTCACTTTCCGCCACTCAGATTTGCATATCAGATTGTATAATCCGTCGCTTTCTATAATTTTGTCCATTTCTCTCTCACCTAATTTTCTTTGTAGCAAAATTTACAATAAACAAGTTACAATTAGCGCATGCTTGAACCTTATTTTTTATTAAAAATATATTTTAAAATAATAGATTGATTAAGAAGATATGATTACAAAATAAAAAATTTTGAACTTATGTATAATATTATTTTATTAAAAAATGTGCGATAGAAAATAAGAAAGAGAAATATATGTATTTTGAAGTTAAATTGAAATTTTGCACTTTTGAATATTTGACTTTTGCAAGTCCCTATCGGATGGTTCCGTTCAAACTGTCGTTTAATAAATTAAAAATTTTGAATTTTGAATACAATGAATTAATACTACGATACTAATATGGTATGTACATGTACTCCAATTTTTTTTTTTTTTTTTTTTTTCCCTCTCTCTTTCCTTATTTCAAGCCAACAAAATAGTGAATTTTTATTTAGTCTTTATTTGATCTAAATAAAAATTAGCATTTTAATCGTTTTTTTATAAAAGTTGATGGAATATATGGTTAAAAAATGATGTTACCATTAAATATATGATTAAATTTAATTATTAATTTTAACTTAAAAATTAATCATATTTTTTAGTTATACCAAACTAGGAGCTTTGATAAATTAATAAAATTGAAAAATGTTGGGGAATTAATTGTTAAGTTGTATGTTACCTTAATGGGGCGCATAACTGATAAATCATAAATTGACTGATGTGTTTTAAAACTGATGGTGGGATGGGGCCAAGAATTATTGTGGTATATTTTTTTTTTCGAAATTTTTATAATAAAATATTTTCAAGTATTTTATGATGCATGGACCACGTCATTGGGAATTGTTAAAATATCCTATGGCCTTTTTGATTGAATACTAGTGAATTTGTTTGTGAATGTTAAATATAAGTATAAGTTATATTTACTGATTACTTTACTATTAAAGGATGAATTTTTTTCCCCAAAAATGATAAATACAAGATAATGACTAAATTTGAGAATTCTATTTTTAAGGATTATCCTCTAACAAATATAATTCAAATTCGATTTAAATTGATCGATATATAATTAAAACAAAATTTAATAAAAAAGGAAACAACACAAACGAATGAATTTGCCCAAAATTGGTTCCACATCACGTTTCTAATCAAATTTGACTAAAATTTTACAAAAAAATAAACAATCTCAAAATTTTTCCAAAAATCGAAAATTGAAGTTCTTATCTTAAAGAATGGAGAAAAAGGAAAAAAATTCAAGCTGCACCTCTCTCCACGCAGCACGAAAAGGTGCATTGCCTCTTCGCGCTGCGCAGCCTCTTTGTCTAGCATGAAGAGTGCACTATGCATTCTTCGTGCAACACTCAATGCAGCACAGAGAGTTCGTGCACCCTCCGCGTATGCCTCTCTGCGCTGTTCTAAATCCTACAAAAATGTGAAATAATTCATAAACAACTTTCAAGAAACCAATATTATAAAAAAAATATAATAAATTTGTACAAGAAACAAATATTATTTTAAAAAAAGAAATTGTACTTATCATAGGATAGAATATAAGAAGGAAGTGCAAGAAGGCAATTCGGGAAGCTAACAAATAAGAAGTAATAAGAAGGGGGATATACTGTTTAGCAATAGCGCGAACAAAGCCTGGTTTGAAGCGCTGATCAATAAATTATTCAAATCTTCTTACTTTGTCTAGTCTTTTACCATTCATATTATCCCTATTACATGCCAAAAATGGATTACAAACTAAACCAAGTACTGATTTAAGATTAGCAATTATGATAAATATGTAGAAAGTTAATTCTTGATTTATAGCCATCAAAATGCAACCTAGACAATATTTTAAACACTCAAGCAGTGGCATCTTAAATGGGAAAAAATAATTTTAAATGATCAACATACACATTCTTTTAATCTCCTCAAATCTGGGTCCCAATCCATATGAGTTTAATTTGATCAAATGCATAAACTAAAAAATACATAAGAAGTAAATTCTATATAACATATTCAATGATGTTAACTTAATGAAATTAAAATATATTGTCTTTTCAAATTCAGGATTATCATCTAGATATCATAATTCAGTATATATCAGTTTAGTTCAAATCGAGCACTGACTCGAATCAGCAACAAAATATAAACACTGCAACTCTAATTACAGAACACAGCTTTCAGCAACACCCAGACCACTAAACCACTTACGAACTAAAATCCAAAAACCCCAAATCAAGAAAAGTCACGAATCTTCAAATTAATTAACGGATAAAAAAGCGCACACTTATTTTCTATGTAGAAGGCAATTTTCTAAGTACATGTTGAATAATCCCAGTAGATTTTCACCTCCTATTTGTCTCCATCTATTCTTCTACAACTACCATCAGCAGTTGAAAGGTCCAACAAATCTTACATTCATAGAGCAAAAAAGAAAGCTTCTACTCAATTCTTTGAACAATTGAAAACTTAAATCAACGCGGAGACCACATAAATATAAAAATAAAGCAATCGCGTAACTTACATAGGAGTAACTGATCAACCCCGTTTAGAACAACTGTATGTACAATTTAGGCCTTCATTTGCAATTCGAATTTACAAGAGATTTCAGTTTTTCGAATTTTTTGAAAGAAGATGAAGAAGAAGAGTAGTGCAAGAATGATAGATTGAATGAAAAAGTGAAAAAATGGTACTAAAATCAGACCGCCTCACGTTTTCTTCCAATGGGGCCAATATAATATAAAAAAAAGCATAGGACGATATATATTTGCAACACGTGTCCAGCCAAAGTTTCGCTTTTTGATATATGTAGGATATTTGATCTTTTTGAAGCAATTTCCTTGTTTGAGCTCCATTTTTTTCTTTTCTTTTCTATTATTTTTCTACAGTATTCATTTTCAATTATACATTTTCCATTAAAATAATATTACGTGCAAATAAAAAAAATTTCCTTGTTTTTAACCATATATTTTCTATCAATTTATAATTCCATAATACATTACAAGAAGTCAATAGGGCTCAAACAGCGTGCAAATCTGTAGTAGTTCGGTTAATAAGTTGAACTTCTCAAAATTTCCTTTTTTTTAACCATATATTTTCTATCAATTTATAATTCCATAATATATTACAAGAAGTCAATAGGGCTCAAACAGCGTGCAATTCTGTAGTAGTTCGGTTAATAAGTTGAACCTCTCAAAATTGAATAATATTAAAATGTTAAATATTGAAATTAATCCGTTAATTGTATTGCTTAATCTTGTTTACCACTGCTGCTACATATCATGTGTCTTGAAACCCTTTTTTTGGCGAAAAATTAATTTTATATCTGTGTTTTGGTCCTTTTGCAATATAATGAAACAATGCCGTTATAACACTTTAAAAACAAAATATTGTAATAAGAGTTTGTAATGGACATAGTAGTATTTTTTTAGCACTATCATTCATCTGGACCATGGTAATAGGTCTATCGGTTACACATGCTTTAAAGGTCGTTCCAGTTCATTCAATAATTTTTAATTAATAGAGCTATTCAAAATAAGGTTTAACGAGTATTTTAAAGTAAGTTAAGTATGTTAAGATATCTTTAAATATCCTATTTATGGAGATAAGCAATCTTGAAATTTACATCAACGACTGTGATTATTTAGGGGATTTATAACTACATAAAAGACATTCAAGATTTTTATATATAATTTATTTATTTAGAGATATACGACACATTTGAAACGTGTCAAATGAAACTTTATTTGTAAGTTGATAAAATATTATTTTTAATCGTATATTTCGTAAAATCCTCAAATTTTATTCACATATTTCATAATATCTACAACTTGTAACCTTAAAAAAAAAAAAAAAAAAAACCTTCAAAATTTGAGTATTTCTATCTAATATACAATCTAAAACTTTGAATTGCAATTTTATAATATCCTCTTACTAAGCATAAAATATGCATCAAATGTGATTACACCGTTTCAATTGACAAGTGCCTCATGAATAATGCTATGTGGCCTTGTGCTAACACCAATTTAAATATGGTGAACTACTATCTAAACTAATGTTAAACACGATAAAATATGAATTTTGATAACAATCAAATAAGTTTAACCAAAAAAACTAATAAAAAAGTCAAATTAACATTACTTCTTTTGAAGCCCACATATGTTGCAACCTTAACGTTGTCAAGAATTTATTTTTTTGTCTTCTTGTTGTTGTTGTTAGCTCACTTGTGTTTTTCAAACTTATAGTAACGTTTCAAAATTTAAATAAAGACAACCAATAAGACAGCAAGGCCAAAGTTAAAAAAAGGGTTGAGTCGCTCTTCACGGACCGCAAGTTTTGGCTCCCAATGTTTCACGCCTCAAGGTTGTCTTTCACTCATTCTTAGTTGCCAGCCGAACAATTGGCACACTCGCACACTATGAGGAGGATGTTAGGAAAATACCTACTATTGATCATATCAATAGTGCACTATTTAATAAAATAGGCTACGCGCCTAGCTTTTGATGACCTTGCCATTTTGAATTGGGAGATAAGCATTTTTGCTGTGTGATATTGTCCCCCATTTGAATTCGATTATGCCATCATAGCGGGAAGTGAGCTTCGCATCAACATGCATTCCTTTCATTGTAAGAATAACAGTGGCACCATCTCCACATAGAAGAGCATTCACACAATGCTCCCTCGCACATCAACTCCCAAAAAACTCATACATATTGCCTCTGACACCAACCTTTCACATATGCTCCATAAGCATTAGTCTACCGGATGGACGGCCTCTAGCCGCGATGCCTAGGCACACTTGTGCAACGCCTATCCTTTTCGTCCATCTTCCCCACAACTTCCTTTAAGGGTAGTGAAATATTATTGGTGTAAATGTGATATTTTTTAAAAAAAAGTATGATCTAAAATAAATTTATAAATATTAAATTTTAAATAATTATACCAACATTATCTAATTTTATCATATGAATCTAGAAAAATAACAAAGTGATGAAACGGCTAACTTTCATAGCTTGGAAAGGCGAAAGAGCGCCAAACCGTTTGGAGTAAGGCTACGGACAGCTGGACGCCTCCACCGTTCAGAAAGAGCCCCTGCACTGCATCAAGCACGCACACGCCCAAAAAGAAAATAAATTATAATTATCTCACACACACTCACGCAGAAGTAACGCAAAAAGATTTCTAGAGAGAGGAAAAGTAAAGTACAGTGCAGAGGTGAAAAGTTTACAGAGAGCCATAAAGAGTTCTCAACAAAATACTGCAGAAGTTTCAACTGCAAAAGTTTCAAGCAAATAGCAAAGTTTTTCACGAAAAAAGTATAGATTTCCTTTTCAAAAGGAAATTATTTTGTTAGGTGTCTGAGTTTTGGAATTGGATCATTTTTCTTGATGTTGAATGTTGGAGTTTTCTTGAGAGAATAGGGGATAATTTCTTCTGGGGTTTCCTTTAAATATAGCCACAAGTGCAAATTTTTTATTAAACATTCAAGAAAATAGCAAATTTAAAAAAAAAAAATATTAAAGATTTCCTTTTTATTACTTATTGGATTATTTTGTTGGTGGGTCTGAGTTTTTGGATGGGATCATTTCATTGAGGTGGAATGTAAGGTTTTCTTTTTAACATACAATGAAATAGCGAAAATTTTCACAAGATTAGAAAAGAATTCAATTTTATTACTTCATTGGAATTTTTTGCTGGTGGGTCTGAATTTTGGGATGGGATCATTTTCTATAAGTGGAATGTTGGAGTTATTTGCCATAACTTTTTGTGGGGTTTTTCTCTAAATGTCCCCATTAAGTGTATTTTCTTTATGTAGAAAAGTTGCATTTTCTAATTAGCTGGTGAGTTTATGTAGTTAATCACACACACATATATACAGTGTTTTGTATGTATATGTGTTGATGAAGAAGATGATGGAAAGAGAGGTCATCACACCTCTGTTGGTGGTGTTAATACTCGTGGTTTATCCCTTCAGGTTCATTTATGCTAATATGGAAGGTTTGTATTTATTTATTAACAGTTTTATTTCTTCATAAAATTGTTTTGTTATTCAAATTGAGAAGTTCTACCTTTTCTGTTTTTTTTTTTTTTTTGTTATCTCTAGATTTTCTCTTGCCAAAATCTACATTAATTATCTTAAAATTGAGCTTTATGAAAAAATAATTACTTTAGTAAATATTTTTTCATAGTTTGCTGTGTGTCAATAACAGGAAGCACATGTTTTATTAAAAGCCTGGCTCGTGCACAATTTTCATAAATGAGTGATAACAAGACTTGAACTTAGGATGTTTGTCTTCTGTGATACTATGTTGAATTATTTCATTTAAAAGCTGATGCTCTTAGTTAGGAAACATGTTTCTTTATTCAACACAGTCTTCTTTATTCGTTTTTTAGGGTAATTGGAATCCTAATTCCTACAGAATGTCTTGATTTACTATTGGGGCAATCAGTTATGATGTCTCCTTATTAAATCTGTGACACAACATTGTTTTGCACAGCGATGATATTAATTGGCTCTAAATTTTCCTATTGCATTTATGGGCAGGTGATGCATTACATACCCTTAGGGTAAACTTAGAAGATCCTAACAATGTTTTACAGAGTTGGGATCCCACTCTTGTCAACCCTTGCACATGGTTTCATGTCACTTGCAACAACGATAACAGTGTAATAAGAGTGTAAGAATCTGCTACCATAATTTTCTTATGTTCAGGCGACACACTTTTGAATTTGATTTTCAATTCACTCCCTTAACTGTGGTACTTATCATGTTTGCTTTCATTGGATTCCCTATCAGTGATCTTGGGAATGCTGCTTTATCTGGACAACTGGTCCCACAACTTGGCCTGTTGAAGAATTTGCAGTACCTGTATGTCAAATTTATGTCTCAAGTTTGTATCCCAAACATTTTCCTATTTATATGCTTCTGTTACCTAGGTTCTTTTGGAAGTTCAAATCTGTGGCTGATGTTATCTGATAATTGCGAAATCTACCATGAATAAAGTTAATGACATGTAGGATTATTATTTGAATTGGAGACAATCAATTATTCAAGTTTCTTTGTTATTCTAGGGGACATTGAAAGTATTTATTTCATTCAATACTAAAAATATTTGGACCAACATGATGAGGAATGCCTGGTGCGAAAGTTTTTCTATGACACTCATGATTTAGAGAATTGGGGAGAAGAAAAAAACCTCAAAAAAAAAAAAAAAAAGGGGGGGGGGGGGGGGGGGGGGGGGGAGAGTTGAGAGCTTGGCAGTTATCAATTTTGAGTATTTCTTGCCCAAAATTGATTTTATGAAATTGATCTTTGTATCTCCCTTGTTTAGATTCATGAGAATTATCTAGAAGACATGTACATACTCACTTCCTAATCTCATTATCTTTGGCTAGGAAATAGCAGGTAAGTAGTTTCTTAAGGGCTTAAAATCACTGCTGGTTACCCTACAAGTGAACTTTCAAGTTGGTCAACCAAATTCATTTTGTTGCAACTTGGTCACTACCAATAGTTTCAGTTTCTGTTTGATCAGTTTGTCCAACACCGTTTCTCGAAGTAATGAAATTGCTTAGGTCGAGGACAGAAAAAAGCTGACATGTATCTTTTTCGGCCATTCACATCATCTTGGTGTGCTGCATGTATAAAATGCTTTTTTGTGATTAAGTTGTTCTATGCTGATGTGACTAGTAAAAGAAAATTTTTTCATCATCCCCCATCAGAAACCACTGCACATTCTCCATCCCCAACTTTAAGTCGGGCTTCCACCATTTATTGGATCACGAAGTATTGTGGTTTGATATCATTGTTCCATTTGTTGAATCACAAAATAGTATGCTTGCATAACTGGCACTGAAGCTACTCTCATCTTCTGATTTTGAGATTATGATTTATTCTCTACTTGATATAACATTACATAGATGGCTGAGACAAATAGAATAAGACACTCCACACACAGATATGCGCACACCAAAATGAGTTTGTTGATGGGTATCTCATCGATAAACTTTTTGTGAAATATCGCATAACTGGCACTGAAGCTACTCTCATCTTCTGATTTTGAGATTATGATTTATTCTCTACTTGATATAACATTACATAGATGGCTGAGACAAATAGAATAAGACACTCCACACACAGATATGCGCACACCAAAATGAGTTTGTTGATGGGTATCTCATCGATAAACTTTTTGTGAAATATCGCATAACTGGCACTGAAGCTACTCTCATCTTCTGATTTTGAGATTATGATTTATTCTCTACTTGATATAACATTACATAGATGGCTGAGAAATAGAATAAGCCACTCCATGCACAGATATGTGCACACCAAAATGAGTTTACTGATGGGTATCTCATCGACTTTTTGTGAAATATTCTGGGTTTCTTTCATTGTTTTCCACTCCTTTATCGAAAAACACAGTGCTGATAATGGGGAAAAAAATAGAGGAAAAATGAACAATTTATGATTATTATTATTATTTATTTTTTTTGAATACGATTGACAATGATTTTTGAAGGGAAAAAGAACTCTATAGGGGGATTGTTAGTGGCTTTGGGTTATCAAGTTGAAGTTTTGGAGGTGCTTTTAACCTATTTCTTAAATTTTCCACACAAAAAAATTAAAAGGAAGGAAGTGGGGAGAATAAGCCCCATTTTGGTTTTGCTAAAAATCATAATTTTAGTAGATTTTGATAAAAGTTGATGAAATGCGTAGTAGAAAAGTTGATAAAAGTTGTCGGTCTTATGAAATATGTGGTTGAAAATGATGAAAATAAGCTTGGGAGAATATGAGTTTTAAGAAGTTGGGGCGAAACGGGGGCTAAGCCTACTTCCTGGTATGACATTCTTCGTAAAGATTCCTAGTGAACTAATTTAATTTACGTGAAGTTATGGTCCTTTTCCCTGAAAATGGTCTTAACTTCGAATTTCCTCTCTTTATGAAATTCCCTTAAAGAAATTAACGAATAATGGCACAATTTTAGTTAATGTCTTATTTTATTTACGCCAATTAGAACTTTAAACACAGTTTGTTGATAATTAAATCTTTAGATAGTAGCAGCTCCCTTCAAGAAAAGTCTTTTGACTTACCTACTGATAACTAACCCAAGATATAAACTGCTAACTTGTGCCAATAAACCAACTGTAATTGATTTTTTTTTCTTTATGTGCTTTTCTGTTACTTTTTGAAATGAATTCAAGTATTGTGCAACGCTGATCACACTAGCAAACATGCCATATATACTTGCCAATTGTTGAACTTTCACTCACAGATTTTTTTCCTATTTTGAATAACATAACATTAGTGTGTTCTATTTATTGTAACAGGGAGCTGTACAGTAATAACTTAAGTGGGCCAATACCCACTGATCTTGGTAATCTGACTAATTTGGTGAGCTTGGATCTGTACTTGAACAGTTTCACTGGTCCCATTCCGGTGACTTTGGGCAAGCTATCGAAGTTACGCTTCCTGTGGGTATCTTATCCTGGATTTGGAAATAGTATTATGAATATTTATTTACATGTCCTCCAGTGTTTGAAATTCCGTGTGCATATGCTTGTATTGTTTTGAGTGGTGCGATAATGAGGATGGGGAGAGGCACAATAACTGTATGAGTATAGAAATTTATGTGTCAAAACTATGAAGATGACTGCTAAATAAAATCAGCATTAAATACTCTGGTTTTTACTTGATATTGACTTTGTTTTCAAGCTAACAAATAATGCTGTACACGACACCTGAGGGGGTGGGGTTCGACAATCAATAGCAATGAATTTGCTTGGATCATGTGATGCTGAGTTGTTGACATGTTAACGTGTTCATGTAAACTTAAATTTTTGGAGAATTATGTATAAAAATTATGATTCCAATTATATAGGTAGGAGAACTTTTGTCAATGGAGTCGTCTGCAAAGGATTTGAGTTTCTTTCTCTCTGCCCACCATATGGAAGATTACGTGATCAAACATGTCATGTATTCTCTTGTAATTTGTCTTGCATCATGCAGGGAGTTTTTCTTATCATCTACATGTTGTGCAATATTGAATTCTATAGTATTTGAGGATTTTTTCTGTTTTGTGTCTGATGCATTGGACCAAACATGTTACTCTCATGTAACTCTCCTTGTAGCATGCTGGTAGTTTGATTGTTATAGCATTTTTTTGGGTAATCATGAATCTCATTATGTACTATTTTGATGCCTTTGTAAGGATAGTCGGCTAAATAACAACAGCTTGACAGGCGCCATCCCCATGTCATTGACTAATATCTCAACGCTACAAGTGCTGTAAGTTTCCAAGTTTTTCTCTGTTATTTGATCATTCTAATTGCCACTTGTTTTGCCTCTTCCCTCACTTAACTCTGTTAAATGTAATCACTTGAATTTCTTGGAAGAGCTCGTGATTTTTCAAATTGCGTTCTTGTGCAGGGATTTGTCAAACAATCAACTTTCAGGTGCTGTTCCAGATAATGGCTCGTTTTCTCTATTCACCCCAATCAGGTTCTCGCTGATACATGACAGGCTATTCTTTTGAACAGAGAGTATCGTAATTTTAAATTAGTGGCTAACATATGGGATCTTCCAACCCGCAGTTTTGCGAATAACTTGGATCTATGTGGTCCTGTCACTGCACGTCCTTGCCCTGGATCTCCTCCATTCTCTCCACCCCCTCCATTTGTCCCACCACCCCCAATATCTTTACCAGGTAATTGTCCTATTTGGCAGTGGTGCAAGTAGCCGATTTTTTGTTAGCTTGTTTGATTGGTATATATTTCTCAAATTATGAATCCTTTCTGCTACAATTTGTCTTTTAACCTTAATTTGAAAATTTTGGCTGTTTTGTACCATTCAGTGTAGTTTTCGAATTATGGAAGTAGTTGGGTTGGATTACACTACTGTTTTACCACAAATTTTGAATTGGCTCACATTGTATTTCGTAGAGGTTATTAATTTGAGTATTATAAAGAAGTAATTTATGATGATATGAGACTATTGTAGATTTCTTTCTAAATTTAGTTGCTGTAACTGCAGGAGGAAATAGTGCAACTGGAGCCATTGCTGGTGGAGTTGCTGCTGGTGCTGCTCTTCTCTTTGCAGCCCCTGCCATTGCATTTGCATGGTGGCGTCGAAGAAAACCACAGGAATATTTCTTTGATGTACCAGGTTAATAGTTTGACTTCACAAGTTCATTTAAGTCAAAAGCTTTAGCATTTAGAGAGGGGACAACTTATTTATTTAAACTTATTCTTGAACACGCTACCTCACTCGTAGGCCAGATTCATTTTTCATACATGCACATTTTTCATAAATGGATAGCAACAAGACTTGATCATAGGCCATTTTTTTGTTCTGATACCACGTCGAATCATTTCATCTAAAAGCTTAATTTGTTAGAGAAGGGTCAACTTATTTATATTTAATCGAATCATTTCATCTAAAAGCTTAATTTTTTAGAGAAGGGTCAACTTATTTAAATTTAATCTTCAATACATGATAACTTGTCTGTACCTTTTGCAGCTGAAGAGGACCCTGAAGTCCACTTGGGGCAACTTAAAAGGTTCTCTCTTCGAGAATTGCAAGTTGCTACGGATAGTTTTAGTAATAAAAACATTCTGGGAAGAGGCGGCTTTGGGAAGGTTTATAAAGGACGATTAGCAGATGGTACACTGGTGGCTGTCAAAAGACTTAAGGAGGAGCGGACACCGGGTGGGGAGCTTCAATTTCAAACAGAAGTAGAGATGATCAGCATGGCAGTTCATCGTAATCTCCTTAGACTGCGTGGCTTTTGCATGACTCCAACTGAACGTCTACTTGTTTATCCATATATGGCTAATGGAAGTGTCGCATCATGTTTAAGAGGTGATCATCGTTAAGAATGCTGCTAGAAGTCTAATATATCAAACTTTATTTCCATTATGTAGGGCTATCACAATGTTTGGATAAACTTAAAAAGTAGTAGAAGTTACCTTCAAGTAAAAATGGTTACTTTTTTAAAAATAACTCTTACGTTATTGCCGAAATAGGAAACTAACTTATGTCCTACTTTGGTCAATGATAAAATTATTTGTTTGAATATTTATTTACTTATCAGTGAATCTTATAAGCTCAGCCAACATATGAAGTCTTTGTGTTTGCTTAGATGTCCTGATTACCATGTTTTTCCTCGTTGTAGTTATTTGATTCTTGCTAGATATTTACAGCCTTGAGCCTGGAAGAGAAGATAGGCTTTGACCTCGAGCATATACTAACTATAATTGTTTTTATATGTAGAACGTCCACCAAATGAACCGCCACTTGATTGGCCGACACGGAAGTGCATTGCTTTAGGATCTGCCAGAGGATTATCATATTTGCATGATCACTGTGATCCAAAGATCATTCATCGTGATGTGAAGGCTGCAAATATATTGCTTGATGAAGAGTTTGAGGCTGTTGTTGGGGATTTTGGTTTGGCTAAACTTATGGATTATAAGGATACGCATGTTACTACTGCTGTGCGTGGAACCATTGGACACATAGCTCCTGAGTACTTGTCCACTGGAAAATCTTCTGAGAAAACGGATGTTTTTGGATATGGAATTATGCTTCTTGAACTAATAACAGGGCAGAGGGCATTTGATCTAGCTCGCCTTGCAAATGATGATGATGTCATGCTACTTGATTGGGTATTTGCATTTTCCATATATCTTCATTATGAGCATGTTTGGTTAAGCTTAAAAAAAAGTTAAAAAGTTATATTTTAAGTAACCTTTTGGTTTCCGAACGTTTTTGGAAGTGAACTTTTTTAAGTTAAACCAAGCAAGGGATACACATGATTTTGATTTTGTCTACCAAATTAAAATTGAAAGGGTCCAACATTACAATACACAGTTTTTTTATTATACTGATAATTTCATCCAGTTTTTCCAATCTTCTAATTCTAAGAAGACAGTCATATTTTCAGGTTCAATGGTCTCGTGTATTTTTGAAACACGTCTCCAAAGTTCCTTAGAGCATATGTTTAAGTGACACGTTTCTGAAGTTCCTTAGAGCACATGTTTGTCTAAGCTTTAAGAAAAGAACTTTTATTTCTCAAATTATGAATCCTTACTGCTACAATTTGTCTTTTAACCTTAATTTGAAAATTTTGGCTGTTTTGTACCATTCAGTGTAGTTTTCGAATTATGGAAGTAGTTGGGTTGGATTACACTACTGTTTTACCACAAATTTTGAATTGGCTCACATTGTATTTCGTAGAGGTTATTAATTTGAGTATTATAAAGAAGTAATTTATGATGATATGAGACTATTGTAGATTTCTTTCTAAATTTAGTTGCTGTAACTGCAGGAGGAAATAGTGCAACTGGAGCCATTGCTGGTGGAGTTGCTGCTGGTGCTGCTCTTCTCTTTGCAGCCCCTGCCATTGCATTTGCATGGTGGCGTCGAAGAAAACCACAGGAATATTTCTTTGATGTACCAGGTTAATAGTTTGACTTCACAAGTTCATTTAAGTCAAAAGCTTTAGCATTTAGAGAGGGGACAACTTATTTATTTAAACTTATTCTTGAACACGCTACCTCACTCGTAGGCCAGATTCATTTTTCATACATGCACATTTTTCATAAATGGATAGCAACAAGACTTGATCATAGGCCATTTTTTTGTTCTGATACCACGTCGAATCATTTCATCTAAAAGCTTAATTTGTTAGAGAAGGGTCAACTTATTTAAATTTAATCGAATCATTTCATCTAAAAGCTTAATTTTTTAGAGAAGGGTCAACTTATTTAAATTTAATCTTCAGTACATGATAACTTGTCTGTACCTTTTGCAGCTGAAGAGGACCCTGAAGTCCACTTGGGGCAACTTAAAAGGTTCTCTCTTCGAGAATTGCAAGTTGCTACGGATAGTTTTAGTAATAAAAACATTCTGGGAAGAGGCGGCTTTGGGAAGGTTTATAAAGGACGATTAGCAGATGGTACACTGGTGGCTGTCAAAAGACTTAAGGAGGAGCGGACACCGGGTGGGGAGCTTCAATTTCAAACAGAAGTAGAGATGATCAGCATGGCAGTTCATCGTAATCTCCTTAGACTGCGTGGCTTTTGCATGACTCCAACTGAACGTCTACTTGTTTATCCATATATGGCTAATGGAAGTGTCGCATCATGTTTAAGAGGTGATCATCGTTAAGAATGCTGCTAGAAGTCTAATATATCAAACTTTATTTCCATTATGTAGGGCTATCACAATGTTTGGATAAACTTAAAAAGTAGTAGAAGTTACCTTCAAGTAAAAATGGTTACTTTTTTAAAAATAACTCTTACGTTATTGCCGAAATAGGAAACTAACTTATGTCCTACTTTGGTCAATGATAAAATTATTTGTTTGAATATTTATTTACTTATCAGTGAATCTTATAAGCTCAGCCAACATATGAAGTCTTTGTGTTTGCTTAGATGTCCTGATTACCATGTTTTTCCTCGTTGTAGTTATTTGATTCTTGCTAGATATTTACAGCCTTGAGCCTGGAAGAGAAGATAGGCTTTGACCTCGAGCATATACTAACTATAATTGTTTTTATATGTAGAACGTCCACCAAATGAACCGCCACTTGATTGGCCGACACGGAAGTGCATTGCTTTAGGATCTGCCAGAGGATTATCATATTTGCATGATCACTGTGATCCAAAGATCATTCATCGTGATGTGAAGGCTGCAAATATATTGCTTGATGAAGAGTTTGAGGCTGTTGTTGGGGATTTTGGTTTGGCTAAACTTATGGATTATAAGGATACGCATGTTACTACTGCTGTGCGTGGAACCATTGGACACATAGCTCCTGAGTACTTGTCCACTGGAAAATCTTCTGAGAAAACGGATGTTTTTGGATATGGAATTATGCTTCTTGAACTAATAACAGGGCAGAGGGCATTTGATCTAGCTCGCCTTGCAAATGATGATGATGTCATGCTACTTGATTGGGTATTTGCATTTTCCATATATCTTCATTATGAGCATGTTTGGTTAAGCTTAAAAAAAAGTTAAAAAGTTATATTTTAAGTAACCTTTTGGTTTCCGAACGTTTTTGGAAGTGAACTTTTTTAAGTTAAACCAAGCAAGGGATACACTTGATTTTGATTTTGTCTACCAAATTAAAATTGAAAGGGTCCAACATTACAATACACAGTTTTTTTATTATACTGATAATTTCATCCAGTTTTTCCAATCTTCTAATTCTAAGAAGACAGTCATATTTTCAGGTTCAATGGTCTCGTGTATTTTTGAAACACGTCTCCAAAGTTCCTTAGAGCATATGTTTAAGTGACACGTTTCTGAAGTTCCTTAGAGCACATGTTTGTCTAAGCTTTAAGATAAGAACTTTTTGTTTCCGAAATTGTTGTCTCACCTTTAAAAGTTATGCAACTTATTTCCAATTTTGATCAATAAAAAATATTTATTTCAAGACAAACATATGCATGCAAATTTACTTGTAAATAAGATTAGCCAATCATGCTTTTCTCCCCTCATTTTACTGCATTTCTTCCTTAGGCTAAATTGGAAACTATAAAATCATTTTCCTTGAAAAGAGCTTGTGAAATCCTTGTTAATCAATTTGGAAAGTGTGCTTTATGTATTTGTAGACTCTTCCTACCATGGAGTTGCTAGCTTATTGTACTTTGTGCTGCATGAATGTGTCAAGTTTTGCAAGTTGAGATGGTCCAATTATACACAAGTGACGAGACAATCCAATTTTATAATTTACCTCAAATTCAGGTGAAAGGGCTTCTAAAAGAGAAGAAATTGGAAATGCTGGTTGATCCTGATTTGCAGAAGAAATATGTTGAGGCAGAAGTGGAGCAGCTAATCCAGGTTGCTCTTCTATGCACACAGAGTTCCCCGATGGACCGGCCCAAGATGTCAGAAGTGGTGCGAATGCTAGAAGGGGATGGCTTGGCTGAGAAGTGGGACGAATGGCAAAAAGTGGAAGTTCTCCGCCAGGAGGTGGAACTAATTCCACATTCTAGTTCCGATTGGATAGTTGATTCCACCGAAAATTTACATGCCATTGAGTTATCCGGTCCAAGATGAAGATGACCTCAAGAAAAACAAGTCAAGAAAATTTGCTAGGTTTCCTTCTTTCGCCTTTTCTTTTTCTATTAAATTACTCACACCCTGTTGTTAATTCTAACAAAATTAACCCCATTTGGGTCTGCTGGGAACCCACGGCGAACTATACTCTGTTATGTTTGTGCATATGATTTTGAAATGTCAAGGCATGTTTACATACAAATCCTTGTGAAGTTGAATGCTAGCTTGGAAAGTTATACTGTTAGATTGTGTTGTACGCTGCATTTTCTTTTGGCATTTCCTAGATTAAGGCTGTTGTTCTCATGTGCCGATAAGACTACAGATCCGTGTGAATCATTTATAGGTGTAAATTTTGTTGCGCTGCGCTGGGACAACACATGGACCTGTCTCAATGTTTTGTACAAACAATAAATCTTACACAACCAATAGACATTGCAAATATATTTTATCAGCTAGTAGTGGGTATCGGAGAGTAAACGCTACAATTTGTATCATGTTCCTATTTGTCATTTTTCCAGTTCAAGACCCTCTGCTGCCAGAAGTGCTTTTCTTCGCATTAAATCCGTTCTCTTCAAGACGAGTGTGTTTCGCCTTACGACAGTTTTGGTCGTAGACACAGTGCTGTTAATCTTCTAAGCTATGCAAAAGCTTTGAATATTCGAGTGGTTGTCTATGCAAGTCTTGAAAGAATTGTTTTAGCCGCTTATTTGAATTACTGTTGAAATCGTTCGAGGATGTCTTCTTTCGCTAATATCTTCCTTTCTTCTTCGGGGTAAATCTGTTAGCACAGTAACAAGCATAATCTTCTTAAAGTTGTTTCAAAAAATACGATGATAATTAATTTTACTTAAAATATGTGCATTTGCAGATTTTCATTCATCAAAAAGTTGTGTATGATTCAATCAACTGGTCAAAAAGATTCGATATTAAACACGTTAAGGGAAAAAATGTGCAGTCATCTCTATAATCTTATAAAGCTGACTCCTTTATACCATTTTCTGGAACCATTAAACCTACAAAGCAAACCGCTGCATTTATCTGATATACGAAGCTACACATACTTTTACCTTTTGATACACACACAAGTTGTTTTGTGAATAGGCGATTTATAAGTACAGTACTGACTTTTTAAAGGATGTCTATTGAGTGGCCTCCATTCTCATAATGACGCAGAACGGAAGTAAGAAGAAATAAAAGATTTACCAACGTAAATCTTGGAAATAAGAAGATTGGAATTCTCCAAGAATAAAACTTGTATATTATTCAATGATGACGGAAAACGTTCCAAAAGCCATTAAATAGGCGTTACAAGAAACCCTAAAATATAGAAAAAATAAAACGTTCCAAAAATAGCAAAAATTCAAAACGGGAAATACGGAAATTAATTATTCGGAGGCCTAAACGAAAAAATTTGGCTAAAATCCCGAGATCTCGGGTCTTTGTCTTGAGTTCAATTTCTCGGGCCGTTTCCAATCAACCTGTCAAATTTCAGCCAATTCCGACACCGTCGCGACAAATGACAAAATTGCCCCTGGTGCGGTTTTTCTTTGTTAATTTTCTGTCCAACACTTCTTCAAACTCCAACGCTAGTTGTCCTATATCAGTCTTCCTCACCTGTGAAGAACTCGACCCCGAGTTATATTTCGGATAGAGTAGAACATCATCACGAAACTCATACAGATCAGCCACATTGAAGGTGCGAGAGATGTTCATACTAGCAGGCAGGTCGAGCACATATGCATTGTCATTGATCTTCTTGATCACTTTGTATGGCCTATATTTTCTCGGCTTCATCTTGTTGTAGGGACCACAGGGAATCGTTCCTTGCTCAGAAACACCATCACTTGATCACCTTCCACAAATAGTTTCTTATGCCTCTTGCTGTCTGCCCCAGCCTTATACTTCACATTTTTTCCTTCCAATCGAGCCTTCACTTTCGCCTGAACATCACCAGCCTGTTCAGCAGCCACATTGGAACCAGCAACCTTAAGGAGGCGAGCCAAGTCCAATGCATGTTTAGGAGGCTTCAAATACACCAAAGAGAAAGGAGATCTACCAGTGGCAGTGTGGATTGCATTATTATACACGAACTCGGCCTGCGCTAGCGCCACATCCCACTGCTTTGGCTTATCACCACAAATGCTGCGTATCAAATTCCCTAGTGTCCTATTCAGATTTTCGATCTGCCCATTAGTCTGCGGGTGTGTTGTGCTACTGAACTTCAGAGTAGTATCCGTCTGCCGCCACAGTGTAACCCAAAAATGACTAAGGAATTTCGAGTCCTTGTCAGAAGTGATGGACTGAGGGACTCCATGCAACCGAACCACTTCACGAAAGAATAGCTGAGCTATGTGAGAAGCATCAGATGTTTTGCATGGGATAAAATGCCCCATTTTGGAAAACCTTTCAACCACAACAAATACAGAATCTACCCCATGTTGAGTTCGAGGCAGCCCCAAAACAAAATCCATCGACAAATCTTTCCATATCACATTTGGTACAGGTAGAGGCATATATAGACCAGTATTCTGAGCTTGCCCCTTTGAAGTCTGACATACATAAAACTTACGGACCAAATTTCCCATGTCGCGCTTCAATTGAGGCTAGTAATATCGCTCGACTACCCCATTGATAGTTTTATCACATCCCAAGTGACCATTCAAGCCGCCACCATGTAGTTCTCGTATTAGTTTCTCCCTCATAGAACTCCGCGGAATACACAACTGGTTGCCATGGAACAGGTAGTCGTCAACTTTATGGAACTCGCCATTTGTTTGTTTCAGAACACACTTTCCCCACACTTCCGCGAAATCCTCATCTTCCACATATAAGTCTTTCAGATACTCAAAACCAATAACCTCCTGCTGCATGGTTACCAGCAAGCTTGCACGCCGGCTCAAGGGATCTGCTACCTTATTCAAAACTCCGAATTTATGTTTTAGAACAAATGGGAATTTTTGCAAATAAGTCGACCACCGAGCATGCATGTTACTTAAATTTCTCTGGATGTTCAAGTACTTCAAAGCCTGATGGTTGGTGTAGAGTATAAACTCCCACCGAATCAAGTAGTGTTCCCAATGTTTCAAGGCCCGAACAATTGCATAGAATTCTTGGTCATNCCATTCCTCAGTATAGTCTGCAACTGATTTGTTTCCCTGCACACAATTCTGGAAACTTTGAAATATGAACTGTTCATAATCAGATGGCAAGAACCTGCTCATCATAAGTTGTTTCATCCGCCTCAAAGATCGGATAGGTGCCTTGGCCCGACGTCGCCTATCCATCTGCAACCGTTCCTACCAAACAGCAGCCCCACTTCTCAATTTATACGCTACCAATTTCACCTGTCGTTCTTCTGTAACCTCAGTAAAATCAAAGAACCTCTCGACCTCAAAATTCCAATCCAAAAATTCTTCGACCTGTAATTTTACATGGAACAATGGTATGTCTGCCCGAATCTTATAATCAGACTGATTTCGATTCAGTTGTGGATTTTCTGGGTGTTCAGCAAATTCGTCCTCAGAATCCACATCCCTGAAATCTTCAGGTTGTCTGTTTCTTGCAACCCTATGAGGACGCCCACCACCAGGTCGACCATTGGTATCTTCCTCACCCGAGGCCGGAACATTGACAGGCAGAGGGTTTGGTTACTGCTCCAACAAACGCTGAACCATAGCCTCCAACCTCCCCATCGATTGCCGCTGTTCGTCAATTGTCGTCCACAATTCCGCATCTGTTTCCCTGCGACCAGCGTCGCGAGGATGAACTCTTCCTCTGTCATTGTTGTGGGCCATTTAAGAACATGGTAAATGTTCGCTCTGATACCACTTGATGCAGAATGGAAGTAAGAAGAAACAAAAGATTTACCAACGTAAATCTTGAAAATAAGAAATTGGAATTCTCCAAGAATGAAACTTGTATATTATTCAATGATGATGGAAAACTTTCCAAAAGCTATTAAATAGGCGTTACAAGAAACCCTAAAATATAGAACCCCGAGTCCAATTTCTTGGGCTGTTTCCAATCAACTTGCCAAATTTCAGCCCATTCCGACACCGTCGCGATAAATGACAAAATTGCCCCTGGTGCGCTTTTTCTTTGTTATTTTTCTGTCAAACACTTCTTCAAACTCCAAAACTAGTTGTCCTATATCACATAAACATCCTTGCATTATCATTATAAAAATTAAATATTTGAAAACACGTTTTTCACATTGTAAACCTTGACAACTTTAAATGTGTCCACTAAGGAATTTTTGTTGACCAGTTTGTTAAAGTTTTGAAGTCATTAGAGTTGATATCTATGATATTGTAAGGCAAAGTGGTGTATTAATTCCACATTCATCTTTAATCACGACAATATACCATGAGACAGATTTTTTGTGAATATCTATGGTCAATTGTTCAATGTTTATATTAGACCTTTTTGTCTGATTTCCAAAATGATCACTGAAAACATAACACTAGATTGAGCATCACAACTATGGGGACGCCCTTCAAATGGTAAGAAAAAGAGAAATGAGAAGAAAATGGAGAGTTTTATCATGTGTATTGGATAACAGAGATTTGATTTAATTATATAATGATGTCAGAGGTCAACAAGATAGGAAAATGAGAAAAGAGATTACAAGCTGGTTGAAAGAGATAATATATAATCAAGGGGATTGATAAATTGGCCTAGGTAATGAAGAATTCTGTAAACAAAATATTAACTTTGTTCTCTATATACTCGATACTAGATAGTAAATTAGTAATGGACTTCATAGACCAATTTCCCCGATAAAAGTTTCAAGACAAGGTATACTTTAACATCAAACTCTTCAAATCAAAGACGTTGAAGCAAATGTTTGATACATAATATTAGACCGACCTCAATGTATATGATAACAAACAATCTTTTAACTCATTTTTAATCCTTATTTCATGCACAATTCTCTCCAATCCAACATACCTAATATTTCATAGAATAATGCTATCAGCACCACTGATCCTATAACACCAATTTATGTGGTTCTATGTGAAAAGTTTAATGAAAGGTGGAATTAAGTAACTCATATAATTGTACTTTTCATTGAATGCCACATTAGTGCCACCTATACTGATATTTTAACACCAGTGACACTAAATAGCATTATTCCTATTGGAAAAATGGTTATGAAATGGGTCAACTTTAAGCCCAAATTTTAGTGGGACCCACCTTTTAATTAATACGAGACCTAGTATATTCACGTTCTACTCCGCGAGATGATTAACGTGATATATTTATTTGTCAAAAATCATTTAAAATTGAATGAAATATTAAGT